CGGCGAAGCGATGAGGTCTGCATGTCTGTCTCTTACAGTAAACTAAATTTAAAAACACAATCCACACTCCAGATGTGAAGTCTCTGTTCAGAGTGGTACAGCCTTACACGCAAGATTTCTGTGGAAAAAGAAGGCACAGGTTAGAGTCACTATTGAAATAATTATATAAATTGTTACTTAACTGTTATGGAATGAATAGAATTATGACTGGTAAATAGACTATAAGGTATAATACCTAAGGTATTTTACCTACCTTAGGTAAGGTATACCTTATAAGGTATAATAATACAACAGTTTATAAGGGAGTATGCTCTTTGGAAGCAAAGGTCCTCATCAAGTATTAAGCATCAAAACCTATTCAACATTTTTATTCCATCTTTTTCAGAGGCTTGAAACAATCATGATATGATATAAACCAAAGCCAAAAGATGTTACATAAGTTATTTTAAAAAACATGAATAAAAAAACAAACTCAGAGATGAGAGAGGCTTCCCTTTCGCTGTCCTAACTGAAAGTGTCATTTTTATGTTTGCAGACATATAATTATTACTGATCAACACAACTTGTACTTTTCACTATCGTCTGCAAATAGAGGCAATTGAACTGTTATATAACTGCCTTAAGGATGTATGTTAACACATATCAACATGGGTTTAATGTACTTTTATGCCTAACAAATGAGATGTTGTAGGATTATCTGGAAAAAACAATTCTTCAGTGTACTGTGTACTTAATTTGCTGCAACACCCACGAATTGTTGGAGGAGTGGCACACACACTTTACTGACAATTTGTAACAATGTTAGGACATTATTTTTAAAAGAAATAGGTTAATGTTGTAAACTATATGTGACAACATTGGGTGGACATCACCAACTGGCTTGATGATGGGCTCACAGTTTGAAACAATACATTCCCAACAGCACTTGCTATACATAAGAAACAAACTCAGAATGTAATACTACCTAATGGTCAGAATATATTAATTTACTATATGAACCTAATGTTCGACCCATTATTACAGAGGAAACTGCAGTTAAACACAGGCATGTTGAAAACCAATTACTGCTTGTGCTTGATGTAGCATTTGCTTTTGGATACTTTTGATTAATTCTGAGGTTGTTGTTAGTGCTTGCCCCTACACAGGTAAGGTGGTCACAGCCAGAGACAAATTGTACAATTGAACTGAAGTAAGATTTTAATTTTACATAATATGGGTTAGATAGGAATAATAGTGTTTGAAGTTTTTTTTTTTTTTTTTTTAACCACGTCAAACAATAACAAAAACACACCCCTGTTCTATCTTCTACCTTCTGATTTTCACACCTTCTGATTTTCACACCTTCTGACCTTGCAACCACTTCCCAGAAAAATACTTCCTTTCCTAATCCAGAAATATGAGACGGAATAATTGTCTGTAATATCAAGGAAAAAACTGTGTTCTGTAGCCAGCTAGGGCCTATTTGTTAGTCCACAGCTGTTAGGGACCGTGGAAAAATCGAGTGAAACTCCCCTAAAGCCCCTGTCCCAAACTAGGACGAAGAGCGAACTCCATCAGAATGCACGTTGCGTCAAACACGACAAGGTTTGGAGTAGCGTGACTCAGCTAACATCCTCTAAAAGTTAAAATCTAATGAATAAAATCGAGTCTAGCTTTTGCAGTTCACTTTCCCTCTTACCTTCAGGACATAGCTACTCAGAGGGGTCCCAACTTGGGGAGGTTTTGGGTTAAAGGAGAAGAAAAAGATACGCCTTCCCCGTCGACATGTCCCGGAGCGTTCTCAATGCCCAAACTACTGTGAAAGCAAAACAACAAGAAAAAACAGAGATGCACGCTCGAAATCCACAAAAGTATCCGACTGGAAACAAGTTGATTATGTTTTTAAATGTAAGGAGAAAGTGGGGCTTGCAGATGGCACACTTTACACCCCCACCTCCTTCTAAAAACACAGTGAAAATGGATGGGAAGGGACGAGGCAGAGCGGGCGGAGGGAGGGAGGGAGGGAGCTCGGTGCATGCGGAGTCAGACTTAACCCGTTCAGTGCTGCTGCGCTCGGAGCAGGTGAGGGGCTGGGTCACAAATGTAGGCCAACAAAATAGCATTTCTAAGCCAATAACTAGGCTTTCTGTGAGGTGAATTCTCTTCATTTGTTTTACTTCAGGCTATCATAGCCATGAAATTGCATTATGGAACAGATCTGATTATCAGCCCCTACAAAGACAGGTCCACTGTAAAACTATTATCCTAATAACGCCAAATTCGTCTATTTATAGGCACATATACGTATGCTAATAAGTGATAACTGCCAGAATAGACAGTACATATAGACCTATAAAATCTCAGTTTATTTATTTTTTAAATATGACAACTTTCATTGTGTGCCAGAAAAGGTCACATATTTAGGTCTCTGTATTACTAAACTGACCTTGTTATTGAACACAAACTTACATAAACCTGTAATTATTAACACATTTATATAAGTAATTGTATTTCTGACCTACAATGTTACCCTTTGACTTCTGTATCAACACCAAGAATCAGATGAGATAGTAACCTAATGTGCAGTTTGATCTAGGTCTACTTCCGTACAGAAACCACAAAAATGCTTCATCAGACCCTCTTCTTCTGTTTAGAGTAATGTTATACCATTGGGGATTCAAAGAAGAAGTCAATTTCCCTTTTAGCTGCTTCATCATTCCACAACTGTTTATTTATTTATTGCCACTAATGGGAAGCTGTCTGAGGAACATCATATACATTTTACAGCTTAGTCTGGAGGCTTTGTCTAAATTTACAGTATTGTTGCATGGTGTAGTTGGATTTTCTCGGAGGAATAATAGTGTCTTGAGGTTGACGGAGCAGGATATACAGGAAATACCAGCTCCACCTTCAGCCAACAAAGACACGTCACTTAGACACGACAATAGGACAAAGTGTAAAAGGTTTAGTCACCGATGAACACAGATGCAAAAGTGACAACATTGGTTTAACGCACATCAATGTTTTCACTTTCCACTTCTTGGTTGTTTATTTGCCGTTAAAGGAGAGAGCTATAGTGGACCAGTGCATATTGTGCAAATACTTCACAAAACTAGATAATTGCTTATTAAATGTTTATTATTAAATTAAAGGTGCACTAAGTAGCTATACTGGTGGAGGGTCCATCAGCTGCTTGTTTTCATGGAGATGTTATTGCTTTACCTGGAATGTTTCACAATATGTCATCAAACTTACTTACACATCGAACTCTATCTTGCATTTATTCAGTTACAGGTGTTTTTATTGCTCCAAAATACCAGGAAAATTATGTATTCATACTTTGGGTGGGGTCGCCTCTCCAGAGATTTGAACTTGGCCTGATGGTGTCACTGCTTGTCTCTATTCAGACATTGATTAAATTCCAAACTGGAACATTCCAGACAATACAATAATCTCCATGGATACAAGCAGGTAATGGTCCCTCCATTAGAAAAGGTACATAGTGCACTTTTAACAAAATAATCATTATGCCTACTTCTATTGCTATGGCAGGGTTTAAGAAGCAGAACATTTAATAAAAGTTATCTAGAAATAATTAAAAAAAAAACTTTGTAGTTTACTTTGTAGTTTCCACTCTCTTCCCTCCTAGCCTGTAAAGCTATTTCCCCTGCAAACAGCGGCTGGAGCATGCTTTGTCTACAACAAAGGCCTGATGAGGTCAGCACATGCAGGGGGGACACGGGTCTCGGGCACAGGGAGGAGAGGGTGATAAATAAAACCAGCCTATAGTGAAGCCTGACGTCACAAGGACTGGAAACATGACTATGAGGGAGTCATTTTCAGACAGTGTATCCCTGTGGGAACTTGCATTGCTGCTTCTGGTAGGGGAGGATGGTGATGTTAATGGATGGAGTCAAATGTAAAGTAACTAATCATAGCCTGAAAGATGAGGCAGTCACTGAACAATGGGATAGTTTCTGTACATGTCGGATGCAAGGGGTTAAATGTCTCAGTATAAAATATAATGATATTTAACTGCTGCCCTCTAGTGGATATGGTTGTGCATCATCAGTATCACATTTAATACTAGAAGGTATTAAATTACATTTTCTTTGTTGCATAAAACAGAATGAATAAGGGCTAGGTGATTTGGTGAAATAGAAAAAGATAATATTACTTTAAATATTTTTTTTCTCTAGGAAATATAAGATATGATGCATCAGAGATTAAATAGCACAAACACGGTTTGAAAAAAAAAAAAATAATAATAATAAAAATTATATTGGCTTTATATCCTTATAGGTGACAACAAATGTGTTTCATTAATTGTAGTTCTGTTGTATCTTAACAGTGACTAAATCTTGACATCTCATCCTCCCACTGTTTTAGTTGATCTTATATTCATTTTATTTATAAAGCACACATGAAACAACAGAATATACCAGCTCACATGACTAACATGTTAATGAGATGTTAATCGTTCAGATGTTGCTCAGCTGAAGCTCTACTCCAGTGGCTGATGCTGTTTCTGGGTAGGACCGGTGCGTCATGGTGACGTACGCTATCACTGCTGCTTGTACACAGAAATGACAAATCCTTTTAGTCCCTCTATGTGATAATAATCTAACCTTTATTTGAGCTGGGTTTGCCCAGTCTCTGGTTCATGCTCTCTTGCATATGCCATATCAAATTTGGGACTAAACTGGGACTAAACCTGGGCTTGAACAGGATCAAATCACCAAAGTTTACACCAGAAGGACTAAATTGAGCTTAAAACAGGACCAAAGCAGGACAAGTATGAACTCAGCCTTAATGCTGCACTATACCTACCTGTACCAAACCTCTGTCCTCTATATTCATGGAAACATGTGGTGTCCCAAGACCAAGATTTAAGTAAGATCTGTGGAGAGGCCCCCACTTACCATCAGAATGTATATTTTTCAAGGTATATTTGAGCAATAAGTAAAGAGATACGCCAGAGTTTAACACCATAAGTGGAACATTACAGACAAAGCAACAGAGAAAAGCTAGAAATATTTAATGCAGCACTGCTATATTTTGCATATCTTTGTATTTACATATTTTCACATTTTACAAACAATACTTCACTAATAGCAGAACTATAGAAAAAAAAATCCCTGAATTTCCATCATAACAGGGCTACGGCTACACTTATTCAAATTGGCCATGACAGAAGCATCAGTGTTCTGAGTGAGTACAGGCAGCCCACTGCACTCTTCATGTCTCCCAGAGGAACAGTTGAGAGCATCCTCTTCATTCAGACAGTGTCCTTGCTTCATCAAAAGGAGGCTTTGAGGTCTCTACAGTCGCACGATGCCAATCAATTGTAACCATTCCAACAAAATGTTGTGTCATATACATCAATGTGTTCATTTTAGCTTATTACATATACACACACAGGCTATTTGTTTAATGCTTTGTGATGACCAGTGACAACAGTGTGAATCACAGAGCATGAGTTGTAACAAATGCAGATCGTGACTGTTTGGTCCGTGCAGTGATAGGTATATGTACTCATTTGGAGCATGTGGATTAATTTCACTGTCCCTTCAACATAAGGAAATAAGAAATTATAGTAAATAAAGAGTGAATAAATAAATAATCAAATAAATAAAAGCATAAGGCATATAGTATTTCTAAATAGAGCCAAAAAAGTATGAGCATAAGGGTGTTATTGTTAGGCACAAACTATGTGAATTTGCCAAATGCCTGAGGATGCGATGTCCTAGACTTTTCTAGTGCTAAATATTCTTCACAGAGAAATCGCGAGTTAAACTGGGGGGCTATTGGCCGGCATAATAACCTACTATAAAAGGAAGGAAATTGTTGATGACACTTGATGACGCAGAGCGCGCGCCTGGTGCGTGCTTATAAAAATGGTGACTGTATCATGCGGAGACTCAAAATTGAGAGGCAGACATCTCGGTAAGGCTCTGAACATCGGGGCGTCCGGACAAACAGATAACTGAGATGAACTCAACTGAGAAGGGCTACCTTCCTTTTGATGGCATCCTCGACCTGTTCAGCCTCCTCGGACAGCAGCCCCTAGGCGTTTCGCACCTGTTGACGCACAGAGCGTCCTTCATTCAGCATCCCAGCACGTTCAGTTTGTCCAAGGCGGGCATGAGCATCGTAAAAACGGTCCACGACTGCCGGGGAGGACATGTGAAAATGACGAGGTCAGCCCGGTCTAGCTCTGGCCAGAGACAAGTATCCAGTGAAAAACTAGTGAAAAAGTCAGTAGATAACATGGATCTCGGGCGGATAAAGCCGCAAAACTGCCAGAGGATAGTCGTGCTCGGTGCGCCAAAGGTGGGCAAAACCAACCTCCTGCTCAGGTTTTTGGGTAAAGACTTTAAAGAGCACTATGAACCCACTAGAGAGGACTTTCACAGAAAGCTGTTTCACATCGGAGGAGAGACGTACCGAGTGGATCTGCTGGATGCGGCGTGCGAGAGAGACTTCCCCGCGAAGCGCAGACTGTCTATCCTCACAGGTGGGTCTCATAGATTAATGAATATTCAAGAACAATGTGTGTTTTACAAATACTAACATCACTGTGCTTTTCCAGGTGACATCTTTCTGCTCGTCTTCAGTTTGGACAGCAGAGACTCTTTCCGAGAAGTGTGTGAGCTGTTCAGTGAGATCAAATCTGCAAAGACAAAGTTTCTCAAAATGAAGACTCCGGCCAAGGTCCCTATAGTGGTCTGTGGGAACAAGACGGACCTGGGCGCATCCCAGAGAGTCATGGGCCGCTCTGAAGTGGTCAAAACATTGGGTGAAGACGTTACGTACGTCGAAACCTCCGCCAAGAACAGTACAGGACTGGAAATCATGTTCCGTGCGCTGGCCCGACTGGGCGGTTTGCCTGACGAAACGAGCCCGTCCCGTCACGAGATCATCCCCATCCTCAGCTACCAGTCTCTGTGCGCGAGCCAAAGGGGCAGAAGCAGCAAGACGCACAAGGCACGTGCGCCATGTGGGGCCGTGGATCCATTGGCGCGCAGACCCAGTTTCACCACGGATCTGAAGCTAGTGCTTGGATCAAGCACAAAATCATCCAAACCCGAGAGGTGTCAGATTCAATGAATTTGAGCCTTCTTGGAAAACCAATTGTAGTAGTATGCTGCAATGTCATATAATGTAAGGAGTTATACTCCTATAGCATTTGGCTGGACCAATGCATTATAACATTTTGTATTTTTTGTATGTAAGAATTATTTAATAAAGGCTGTTTATATGTCACAAGACCTTTGTTATTTTCTGCACATTAATCATTTCTATTGAGGAGATTCTTGATTCTTGAGGGATCTGTGGTTTTTACAGATGACCATCAATTAAGTAAATGAAATGAATGTATTTAAAATTATCTTTTAAAACCGTATTTATAGGAATTATTTTGATAAAAAATATATAAAAGATTCACTCCCTTTAAACCACTACAATAACTTTTAAGATATTATTGAAAGCGTAGAGCGAGAGAAGCCTTGATACTTAAAAATAGCAGAGCTGAGGTGTCTCGCACAGTGAAAAGTAGTGAGTGGGCAACAGGAACAAAGTCATAAATTCGGAGGATTCAGCACCATGGAGAGAGCTCAAACAGTCCTTATTGCCCAAGGCCTTTTTATACGACAGCTACAACAAAGCTTTTGTAATTGTGATGAATGCAATATGACTGGAATACATTTCCATTATTAGGAAAAAAAGACACTGAGAGGTTTTGTAGTAGGCATATTAACAAAAGGACAGATAGACCACTGAATCTCATTACACACGCCTACTCATGACAAATTAACACATATTCCCACCAACTCAACAACAAGCCATTTCCTGTCCAATAATAAGAGTGCATTGAGAAGGTGACATTTTTGTTTGTGTAGTCATCACTGCAAAACAAGGTTGAAATAGAGAGAATAAAAATAATCCAATTATGATGTAAATCCTGATGGTCCTGATTCAACTTCTCTGTCACAGGTTTTGTCATAACTAATTAATTCAGTTATTAATTAGTCAAGCCCAACTGAGTTAACATGAAAAGTATACCTCTGAAGAGCATGATTCATTTTGTTAATAAAAAATATTGCCAACAAAAAGTGATAAAGGCTCAAGCCGAGGTTAAAAGGAAAATATTATGCTATTTTTAGTCTGTGTTATAAGGTTTTCTCTTGTGTTTTGTTTCATTCACGCTGCGTATTTAGGCTGAGTTCTTTTCAAACAGAAAACACTTTGTTCCACCTTGTGATGTCATGTGGTGACACAGGAAGCCCTCCACTATGTTTTTAAACTTCATATACCTTCACTAGAATCATTTGGATGATTATAGCTCTGGAGCAGGCAATTTCTATTAAACAATAGGTAAAAGGAGGTGTTCACTTGAAAACTACCACTAAATGACATCACAAGGTGGAACACAGCATTCTGAGCTTTGGAGATCTAGACAGATTAATAATAAAGGGTTATGTGTGAATGAAACAAAAAACTCCTGGTATGTTTTTGATGAGGTGACAGCATTATAACATGACTTAAAGCTCACAAGAGTAAATTTGTATGTATGTCAGATATTATATAATATATAAGGTATTAATCAGTCATCAGGTGAAAATGTACCTTTATCCATGTTGTTGTCACCTCGGATTGTAAAAACTGTTACTGTCTTTTTGTTTTGGAGCATAAATCCGTTCAATTTCCAAGAGTAGAGTCGGAAGTATGCTGTCCAGGAAGGCAAGTCCCTCATATGTGCAACGAAGGCCTCTAGAAAGAAAGAAATGGTCATTAGGTATTCACTTTGCAGGTCTAAAAATAATGCCATTTATTAGAATAATTACCTTTCATCAAGTATTAGTTTGCCACTTTGACGTAAATCTTGTACATCGGGGGATGAATCAAAAATATGGTGGAGGTTCACGTGTGGGCTGAAACACTGCCAGTGCTGAGAGACAGAAATAGCGTTTCATTGACAGATGATATATACAGTATAAAGTGATTAAAATAGTACTGTAGTTTTATGATTCATATGGAAGTTACCTTGTGCGTTATGCCTTTGGTCATTCTCATTCCCATCACCAACACCTCCTCTAGTCTGCAAACACATTGGTCTATAGTCACAAAGACAGACTTGATAATGAGGAGAGAGTGAGTACACGGTCTATAGATAGGACTTCTCAAGAACAGTCCCAGTGCAAGAGGACACAGGGCCCTTCACATGCTGGCTCATATGTCATTGTCAACGATATCACTTACAGGGACATCTTAGTGACACAGTTCAGTACTTACAGTTCATGTTGACAGAGATGAATCCTTCTCCGGGTGCCATGTCCCCTCTTCTGGACCTCACACATCCAAACTTCAGGCTCCAAAGTCTGTGTCCTGGCTTCTCTGCAAACTCCCCCCTCTCCCAGTGGGACGAATCTGCCATGTGCCCCTAAAAAAGTAACTTTAGCCTTTAGTCCTCCAAAGGTTTCAGAGTATACGGAAAAGAATAATAAGACTTAAAGGTAGGGCAGGGCAGTTAATCGAAAAACTGAGAGATCACGATTCTGACATGTTTAATAATCAGCGATTCATTTTTTATAATTTTTTATCGAGAGGTCCTCGGCCAGTCCTTTGTCAGCGGGCTTCCAGTGGAGGAAGTCATTTAATATATTTACCGGTATACATTTTTTGTGTTCAATGGCACTGATTAAATACTACTTACAGTAAATGTGTTTGAGGTATACAGACATCCATCTTGCATTTACTTAATTACAGACATTTTTATTGCTTAAATCCTGATTTGCTGGTGTTTTCCAGAAAGCTACATAATGCACCTTTAGATGCACTTATGGTTAAAATTAAATACAACATTTCTAATAAAATAAAATAAGCTAGATCTGACTGACTTACTAATGACCAGGTTTCCTTAGGCGTCTCAATCAATACTACCATTCACAAACATTATGAAGATTTCATCAAACACTTACAAAAAGTAGAAAACATTTGTTACCATGGCAACTGGATTGTGCAGACATTTTGAAACACATAACACAAATTACCTGGTCCAACTCCAATGTACTGTTTCCCTTCCCAATAACTCAGATTGTGATGGCTAACAGCATTCTTCAAAAACACAGAATATCAGTAAAATTAATGTGTAACTTAAATACCATACATGTAGTATGTCATAACCACTGACTCACATGTCTTGCAAAGTTTGATACTTCATACTGCTGAAAGCCGTGTTGGTGGAGGATAGTCCTGGCTCTTTGGTACATCTCTGCACTAACTTCCTCCCCAGGCACAATCACTTCTCCACACTGTACCTGTTTAAAAAGCTGTGTGCCTCTTTCCACAGTGAGCTGATACAGAGACAGGTGGTCATCACAAATCTGCAACACCTCCCTCAACTCAGAGTCCCAGGATTGGATAGTCTGCCCAGGACGCCCAAACATGAGGTCAACAGAAACTCTGCCAGGAGTCAGACGTGATGCTTCTTCAATGGTGCGCAGTGCATCATGGGAACTGTGGTCTCTTTCCAAAACTGCCAAATCATCATCATTGAGAGTCTGCAGAGAACCAAAAATATGTTAAATGTTAAAATTTCAAACAATACTTTAAATGTGCCTTGTGTAACTTTGCTGGTGGATCTAGCCTCTACTTGGGTCTGGTTTGGTCTCCATGAAGACAGAAAAGGTTAATAACATACTGTAAAACATTCCAGACAAAGTGATAACATCTCCATGGAGAATTTGACAGAACCTTCACCAGAAAAGTTACACAATGCACCTTTAAGATGGACTCCATAGACAAGATTATATGAATTTTATGATTACACAGAAAATCTATCCAATCCCAGTCCCCATTAAGTGACTGAAATCTCATAGTTAGTTTTAGTAATAGCTTATTATTAGTTTAGAGCTTAACTGAAGCTCTGTTGAGCCTTAATAACTACTAAATATTTCCTCCTCCTCATCCCCCTCCAGCTACTATAAAAATTAAAGCAGTTTCATGCCTATACTTGTGCACTGCTGTATAATGCAGTTTTAAAGTTGCAGTTAATTCACCTGGACACCAATTGAGAAACGGTTCACCCCAGCATGGTAAAAATCCTCCAACTTTGACCTTCCAAGGGGGGTGGGGTTGACCTCCAGAGTTACTTCAACATTGTGAGGAATATGAGCATGTTGTGAAATGCATTTGAGCACTGCTGCGATTGTGGAAGGAGGGGCTAGGCTTGGTGTTCCTCCTCCGAAAAACACAGATGTGATGCTGCAAATAGACAGATTTTTGTTAACATACAGTTGTAAAGAGGCTACTCCTCTTAAACCACATGATGAATAGACTCAGCGGAATCAACATTAATAAGACAGCCTTTCAATTTCAAAAATCTTGAGTAAACAATTGTTGCATCAATCAGAGCTCTGTCTTTTATCTATGAATGCACCAATCCAGCCTTTCCAGTTCTGAAACAAACTGCCACTGATACAAAGGGCAGGGACTAAAAAGATACTTTATTTTCCTAAAAACAAAAATAGCATATGACAAAATATGTTGCTGTTATTTATCTCTAAAGTAACTACAGAACAACTTTGCATAAATAAAACTTCAGCATCGATAATTTGGTGCAGATACCCAATCGAGCAAATTTTCATGGATCGAGCAATATTTTATAATATCGGTATCAGTGCATCCCTACTTTTATTCATTTTTATTTCTTTATAATTGTAGTTATCTGGTGTGCAGAGATTTTTGTAGTGTTTCAACCTCAGATTCAACCAACCTAAAGCAAATTTCAACCACCTTTGACAAAGTATGAATATCTGGGAAGATGTTGCTACTGTAACCTTTGATTTATTTGACTTGTATTATTTTATTTATTAACATACATTTTGGTCATTATTATTTTGGAGAATTAATTTATATTAATTTGGATTTATTTTATTAACAATTCATATTATTATAGTATGCTGAGTTCTGCATAATGGTGATGGATCCTATAATATTACAGCACATTTGATCAATGCACCAGGGTTTAATAATACGTGACCGCGCACTGCACACAGAGGAGAGAGTAAACAAGTTGCCAAATAAATATGAGCTGTACACTTTCCTGTCGTGTTGGTGTATGTTGGCAAGAAAGACAGCATGAAAATACATAACATTAAATCTCACTTTAGTGCACCATACCCACAGCCTCAAGAGACTGGTGAGTACAATATATTGGGGTTACACTACTACTACTACTACTACTACTACTACTACTACTACTACTACTACTACTACTACTACTACTAGTGCTACTACTACTACTACTACTACTACTACTACTACTACTACTACTACTACTACTACTACTACTACTACTACTAGTGCTACTACTAGTGCTACTACTACTACTACTACTAGTGCTACTACTACTAGTGCTACTACTAGTGCTACTACTACTACTACTACTAGTGCTACTACTACTACTACTACTAGTGCTACTACTACTACTACTACTACTAGTGCTACTACTACTACTACTACTACTACTACTACTACTACTACTACTACTACTGCTACTACTACTACTACTACTACTACTACTACTAGTGCTACTACTACTACTACTACTACTACTACTAGTGCTACTACTACTACTACTACTACTACTACTAGTGCTACTACTACTACTACTACTACTACTACTACTAGTACTACTACTACTACTACTACTACTGCTACTACTACTACTACTACTACTACTAGTGCTACTACTACTACTACTACTACTACTACTAGTGCTACTACTACTACTAGTGCTACTACTACTACTACTACTACTACTAGTAGCTACTACTACTACTACTAGTGCTACTACTACTACTACTACTACTACTACTAGTGCTACTACTACTACTACTACTAGTGCTACTACTACTACTACTACTACTACTACTAGTGCTACTACTACTACTACTACTACTACTACTACTACTACTACTACTACTACTACTACTACTACTACTACTACTACTACTACTACTACTACTACTACTACTAGTGCTACTACTACTACTACTACTACTATTATGAGTGACCAAAAACTACATACATAATTGGAGAAAAAAAAATACTGAGAAACTGGGGATACTCGTCAATTATATTACATAATAACAGCATCCATACAGCTGTCTGATACAACAGTTTCCCTTTTGATTATTAAAAGTTGTACATACTTGACATACCATGAAACGTGACTAAGTTGAAGCAAAGTTTGTGTCTCTTTCTGGAGGCACTTAGTCATGTTTTCATTATTGCTTGATCTGGAAATATACTTATTGAAATTGCAGTAAGAACATCTTCTGATACAGTAAGGCCACTGCAGAGGAGAACAAAAAGGCATTGACGCAAGTTGTTCACAAGTTATAAAAATAGAACATCTGAAGGACGTTTAATAAATTGTTATATAGACAAACTAGCTCACATGCACGTAGAGAGAAGCTGTTTTCTGCAGTTCATCCTCACTTAAGTCTTCTGTTCCAGGGATGTCAGAGAATAAATGCCGGGGTACAACGCGTGCACAGGCGGGCACGGCTCGCCTCAGCGCCCGGGAAGTCTGAACAATCATCTCGAAAGGGCGTTAAAAGTGTTCAAAACTAACTGACTCTTATTTAGGTTTCTTCCTTTTCATAAAGGTCTCCTCGGCGTATAGAAAGTAAATAAATAAATGGGCTTGCACGTTAAAGACAAATCGCATTTGACAATTTAACGAAATGGAAAAGTCAACTATTTACATTTATAGTCCATGCTTTGAACAGCTGATCCCATGTGCCGGATGTGACGTCGAGCTGAAAACACAGAACTTCCTGCTTCTGTTATACAAAATACGATCACACGGAGGCGCCAGAAACAGTGCATTTTTATTCTTAGTAGCAAAACATACCACTTTTTTTTTTTTTTCTTCTTTTTTTTTTTTACTGTTTTCACTTTTTTGTTTCATCTGGGGTAAGTAAGCCTGCTTGTTTATTCAGCGTTTTTGTACTATAACCAATAGTATTTTCTTTGATTTAATGTTTGAGCAATAGTGTGTAATCGTGTGCGTAACAGTGTTTGTGTTACCTATAATTTTATTTCTCTCTTCATGAAAGCAAGTGATACCACCAGGCCACGTTACAGGTCAGGTCTGTGGAATGGTGACTCTGTCTGCTGTAGAATAGATATTTAGTGTGAGACAAGCAAGTGGCAGACCCTGCACTAGAAAAATTACATAGTGCAGCTTTATAAAGGTCTACAGAAAAGTTTTGAGTTGAATTTGGACATAACCCAAGTAATTTAATGAGCTATTGATTATACTGTACTATGATTAAACAATTTGGCTTTGTGACAAGGAAACGACCTTGCTATGTTGCCTTTGGATTACAGATGTTTCTAATTATTCATGTTTCTGTAACAGGGTTGTTATTATTAGGACTAATTTTCTGAGTGGAAATCAGCATGTTTACCCCTTATTAGACCTCATTATGAGCTGATTGCAGTTGCTCATACTCTGTGGGACCTGCACAATTAAGTACTAATTAAGCACTTCAGTTGCACAAATGATCAAATACTGTTATCCCAAATTAAAGGTGAACTACCTACATTTTCTAATATGTTGTGAAGTTTAAATTAAATCTTCATAATACTTAACATAAATGTCTAGTTCTTTGTTTAGATTTTTAAATCTAGACTGAGAAACATCAATGAGTGCTTAGCCTGGAGTCATTTTCCACTCAATATTAAAACTGTTACACAATGTTATCAACAATGAATGTATTGGTGGATCTGAAACCCATGAGTTACGAACATATCAAATCCCAGTTTGGTTAGAACTTGGAAGGGTTTGCAACACTGAAATGGATAAGAGAAAGAAAGGTAGGAGATTGTTTTTTCAGTTGGAACTAAGAAATAGCCTCGTTTGTTTTAGGCACTTAATATTTAAATACATTTTTTTTTCCTATTCTTAAGTAAGTAACTAAGCAAAGTTTGTCGATTATTTGCCATGCATTTATTCTAATACTTAATAGCAGATTAACCATCATTAAGTGCATAGCTGGTCTTGAATTTGTGAACATTGCATAAAGAAATACAATCGCAATATACATTTGTTGTTGGGCAAGTTTTGGGTTGGGTAAGTTTTTCTTGCTTGCCTCATTTTACCCTGACCTGTTGCATATTGTAACATCTAACTCTAACATTTGTTTTTAGGCTCTGCTGTTGAACTGAGGTTGATGGTAGTCGGCAGCAGTGGTCCTTCCCAGTTCCAGCTGACCAATGCCATATTAGGACGCGAGGAGTTCCCTACAGATGTTAACAGCATATCCTGCTCCAGTAAGAAGAATGGGGAACTGGCTGGGAGGCGTGTAGCTGTGGTCAACGGGCCCAACATCTATGATAAAGACATAACAGCAGTTAAAAGAGAGAATGAGCTGAGAAGATCCAAGTGCCTGTGCATACCTGGTCCACATGCCTTTCTGGTTGCTTTTGACATGGACAAAATATCTCCCAATGACATGAAAACTGCCAAGTTACTCAAAAAGCGCTTCGGAAGGAACTGTCTGAAGCACTGCATGGTCCTGCTTGCACATGATGGACCACTAGAGGGCGCTGTAATGGAGGAAAGAGTGAAGAAAGCCAATTGGTACTTGAGAGAACTTGTGGAGAAATATGACGGTCGTTTTCACATTTTTAACAAGAACTGGCAAGACCGTAGCCGTGATAGGGAACTACTTCAGAAAATTGAGTGGATGGTGGCTTCTTTGGGGGGCGCGTATTTCTCAAGCAGCGGTTTCCAGAAGGCGGAGGAGTGTGAAGAAAGAGGAGAAAAGATTGAAAAAAAAGAGAACAGCCGAGATGGAGAGGGTTTGGGCTGAGATGGGGAAACAGTATGTCGCAGAAGACTTGTATCACAAAAGAGATGCCTACACAACCAGCGTTAGTGCAGAGATCAGAGCTAGAGCAGAAATGGACAATGACTGGCTCAGGAAATCCTTGGCTCGAGGGCTGGGGACTGGCCTGGTTGTAGGAGCTATCATGGGTGCCCTGGTGGGGTCCATAGAGGGTCCGTGGGGTATGGTGTTATATGGGGTGATAGGCGGAGCAGTGGGGGGCTCGGCTGGTGGGACAGCTCAGATAGCAATAAAACACATAGAGAACAGAGTGGCACCAACTGCAAGACTGAATTTCAACTCTATTTTCATCAATCGTTTCTTTGCTGCTCCACGCAACTGAACTTCTTAATAACTGGACTGAATAAATAGCACTATAAACTTATGAAATGGTAAATGGTCACATTTTATGTTTTTACATCAAGAAACCACTCACCTCTACACACACACATTTATCTTCACACACTAGTGCACGCAAACATTAGGGGCAAGACATCTTAGGTGTCTTGCTCTGTATTCATTTGTGGCAACCGGGACCGAACCACCAACTTGTGGATCCGTGGATTTGACTGCTCTACCAACAATGTTTATGTCCTGAGACTATGACAATAGTTTAGTGTCTTTATTATCAAATAAATATAATTCCATTCACAAATATTTTCAAATAATTTCTTGATCCAGAAACAAATATAACAACATTTCCAAATATAATTCATGACTTAAGAAATAAACAACATTCACAAAAGCATTTCTCAGCTCAAAAGAAAATGTTACATGATTCAGAAATGTTAGTGCAGTTACATTTATTTGTAAGCCGATGAACCTGCATTTACAAACCACCATACATATTTGTGACTACCCCTGCATTTATTTGTGGATTTTTGAGACCTTCCTGACAGCGGTTAATGCACAAATGTGTTCTTTTACAATATAGGTTGTAGCTAAAATCCCCAGTTAACCACCACTACCTATGTTGTTTCTAAAATATAGTATCAGTATCAAATATTATAAATTGTGTTGCATTAATTTTATATCTATTTGTAATGAGAGCTATCTCAAAAAGAACCACAAAAAACTCACGGTTAACATTTTGCCTTTTTATGTTAAACAGAAAATCCCCCAATGAAGAATGCCAAAATAGGATGTTTTGCACTGGTTTGGTTACCCCTTTTCTTCTACATGTTTTAGGCCTTAACCATTTCCTGGATTTTCGCTCCTGGCTAGTTAACCTGTAGCTCAGATAACACAGAAAGAGGTGGAGCCTGGTGTAAAAATGCCATTGACAAAAGCACTGCCCTCTTTACTAGACAACACACGCAAAGCTTGGTGCACCTGTTACCTGTTAACCAATGCATTTTTTGTTCTCTATAAGTCTGTAAAAGAAGTCAAGCCAGCCAGTTGGATTTGTGAAGGAGAATAACCAGGGTAAGAACAGTTTACATATAATAATATATAACATTACATAGCAAGTGTTGTTTCTACTAATGATTTTAAGATCACCTGTGATTTATCTACCTGTGCCAAACAGAAAGTATATTTTTTAAAGTGTACTTTACTTAATGCTAGAATATCTCCTAAGATTTGCTACACTTTTGCCTTCGCTATATTAGATCAAATCATTAGCTTCTACCAGTCTGACCACATATTTTCACCACAATCTTTCACTTACTTTTGTAGTTACATCATTGTATTCTCATAGCTCATTGTTAAAGCCTGGATTTTGTACCGATAATAGAGACAAACTTTCATAGACCAATACAAGACAGTTGAATCAAACTTAGGTTGGCAATGATATATCTGGCCTTTTGTGAAGTCTTATGTAATAACAGGTGGAATGTGAATGAAAGAACATGACGTGTTGTTTGCATTGAGTGAATGCTGTTTGGCTGCTATAAAGGCATCTTTGGTATTAGACTCTGTGTACAATAAGCATTTAAGCATTGAAAACAGCATGAATAGCTCTCTGTTATTTTACATTTCAGTAGAATATGTATAGTTTTGTTTTGGTGTAACATGGTAACATTTCACAGCTAAAATGCAGCCACATAACATTGTTTTGTCCTCTGCTACATTTTCTAATGCTATGAATGTGTGCACTTAATCAGGCATAAATGTGAAGTCAGCTACATTATTACAGCACTCAGCTTTGAATTGGCACAAAGATGACCTTGAACAAAACATTTTCTTCATAAATGGATGAACTGCAGTTCAAATAGTCTAGTTTCAGACTTTTTGCTTGTTGTATTCTCATAAATACATACAAGTAACTAACATCCATCCATTTTCTTCCACTTATCCGGGGCTGGGTCGTGGGGGTACAGTAACTAACATATCTACTCCAAAATTGAATTCAATAAAATAATTCAAATAAGGACTGCTTGGACCACCATAGTCTCGAGTAACTCTGTGGGAAACACCATTAGTCACAGATTTTAAATATCTAAAGCAAACAAAATGTTCCTTTTTGTTCATGCTTAGTCACCTTATGCTTTCTAACCAAAGTGCAACTGTGTGTTTCTGATTTGATAACACCTGATGCTTTTGCCTTTGCAGATAATGGCCTCCCCCATCAGTCTCCTGTCTGAGAGGCACTTTTTGTGTACTTTGTGCCGAAAAATCTTTACCAACCCAGTGACCATACCATGTGGACACAGTTTCTGCCTGTCCTGCCTGAGTCACTTCTGGTCCAAACATATGTCTCGATACTGCCCCCACTGTAAGCGACTGTTCACAGAGCGCCCCAATCTCAGCATCAACCACGTTTTAGCAGATGTGTCGGAAAAATACAGTAAGATCAGGCCTCCAAAAGAACCTGAGGAAAACACAGTGGTATGTTGGCATGTTAAGGGTTAATTTGACCATGACATAAGTTTATGGTTGTCATAAATATGGTGTAATTTTACAGGTGTTTGACGTGGAGCAAATGGTTCAAGAAAGGCTGCAGAAGATAGAAAGGTTGAAGAACTGTCTGGAGCAACAAAAGGTGAGAAGTACTGCAAATAATATATAACACACAGTTTTGTATAAATACGTTTAATTTCAGGGAGAATACAATTTCCACAAGTTTAACAAAAACTTTTAAACTATTAAACATTCATTCTTGTTGGTTTGTCTGCAGAATTCTTTTTAACAGTTTGGTAAGAGTTTGATTAGGACACTTAAAGGTGCACTTTCTGAAGGTGAATTTGCCCCCTGCCTGTCTCCTTACAATGTAACGCAGTATAACACTATCTAGTCTAGAGACATTTTTTGCCGACCTGAGATTAAATAACTGCAAGATATGCTTAATGCTATATTGTGGAACATTTCTGTCAAAGTAATTACATTTCTATGCAAACAGTCAGATGACAGATTTCTCCACCAGAAAAGTTACATAGTGCACCTTTAATTACAGATTACATTTATAATACAAAGATTTTTTATAGCCCTCTTTTAAAGTGAAATAATGTCTTATCTCTTCACCTGCAAAATTCAGAATTCATACCTCAGAGAAGTCCGTGAGAGCCAGAAGACCTTCTCAGCCCTGGTGAGTGCCATGGAGAAGAGCCACAAAGCCGTGGTCACAGCCATTGAGGAGCGGCAACGGGAGGAGGAGAAGAGAGTGGCCAAACTCATAAAGGAACTAGAACAGGAGATTCAGGAGCTGACCAAAGACATCTCTGAAACTGAGCCAACAACTTTTGCCAATGAGGAGCCAAGTGATGAGACAGAGCAAGGTTCAGTGGTAAGCCCTGTTAATTATACCTCTAAGACAATATTAAACTTTTCTAATGGGAGTCCACTGCCTGTCTCTAAGGGTGTTTCACCTTGAATCTTCCACAATATGGCTTTAAACTTATCTTGCATTTATTCAGTTTCCCTCTACCTTGAGAAATATGCATTCTCACTGTGTTTGGCATGGTAGTGTCACCTGTATGTCTTCATAGATAAGAGATAGATAGGTAATGCCATGCTGTAAATCATTCTAAGCAAAGTAACCTCATCTCTATGGAATCAAGGAGGTGGAGAGCCCTCCACAAGAAAAAATACATAATGCATATTTATTACATTTTTTTCTATACAGCCCCCATGTCCACCAGAAATGAAGGACTGGTCCCGGGTGACTGTGGAACCTGATCCTTGTATTGGGGTGACCAGACGAGCTTTGTGGGAAATGGTGGAAAAAATAAAGGCAGAAGTCAATAGGCTGTCTAAATCTGGTAAGTGAAAAATTGCAATAACATGTACTGTAATAATAATTACTATTAACTTTGTATTGCATTTCTTCTTTGTTACTAGAGTTAAAAAGGATTGAGAAATATACAGGTAAACTAAATTGTAAAATTTTATTACTGCAGCAATTAAACCATATTCTAATTATATCTCATTTTGTAGTGGACATCTATCTCAGCGCCAAAACAGCGCACCCAGCACTCTCTGTGTCTGAGGACAGGAAGCAGGTCAGACACACAGACAAGCTTCAGGAGGTGTCAGAAAACCCCAAACGCTTCGACCGCGTGGCTAACATACTGGCCAAGGAGAGCTTTGGCAATGGAAGGTACTACTGGGAGGTGGAGGTCGGTGAGAAGATTGAGTGGAACCTAGGAGTTGTGAGACAATCCATAAACAGAAAGGGCAAGTTCACAGTCTGCCCTTCCAATGGCTTCTGGACTTTGAGCCTTAAAGCCAGTGGTCAGTATCTTGCCAACAGCTCCCCAGTCACCCACCTGGCCCTGGATTATAGGCCCAAAAGGGTGGGGGTGTTCCTGGACTACTCAGAGGGTCAGGTGTCCTTCTACTGCGCTGAATCTGGAGCCCACATTTACACCTTCAATGACAAGTTCACAGACCGACTACATCCTTTTTTCAGTCCAGGGCGCCTGCATGGGGGCAAAAATGCTGTTCCCCTCATCCTTTCTTCTAGCTTTTGCAGTATCTAATATATAAGAAAAAAACAATGGAAAAGTATAAAACTGATGTGTTTAATTTTCTCTATTTATTAACCTGAATATTACATGTGAAAAACTATGACATAACATAACTCAAGCCCAAAGGCACCAAAGAGGGCTGTACAAAGGGCTACATTAGAAAACTTCAATGAAACCCATAAACGGGCTGACAAAGAAAGAAGTGAGAATAAGAAAAGAGAAGGCTCTCAAAATCGAACAAGTGAAAACAAGTGGAGAAAAGAAGTAAATGTGTTGTGAGTTGGATGGATGTTGTTGGCTGGGACAGGGGTTGACGAGGAGCATGGTGGGGGGGCGATACCAAACAGCAGCCTATTGTACTGAAACACCAGGCACTGGGAGACACACTCGGACACATTCACGTATTCACACACTGGCACCGAGCGCATGCTTCTGCCCACCACCACCACACAGACTCTCAGTGGCATTTGGCAGGACGGGCCCATCTCCAGTCCGGTCCTGGGTGTCCATGGAGTGAGACTCTCCATAGATCCACTGCACAGTTCAGCTGAAGCCTGCTTTGCTTGACAAACTTCACCTCTGGAGTAAACTGAATTCTCAGGGCAATCCTTAAATCAGTAATATCTCAAGACGTCAAACTGGACAGGGACAACATAAGGAGCTGAAGCAGCAGTCTCAGGACAACGGCCTCATTGACAACGGAGAATCAGAGGAACTGATACAAGGTAACTAAACATCTCATCAATACCAAACAAATATAAGTATATTGTGACATCAGGAGAAAATGTATAAAATTACTGTTCTTCTGAGTAAAGCACTATGTAGAAGTGGAAATAAAGGAAATGTTAGAGTTGTAATAAGTAATTTAGATCCAAAGAAAATGGACACTTCCAAACATTATATCTTCTGCCACCTGCTACCATGATTATCTGTTGAGGTTTTAGTTCAGAGATAAAAGGATATAAAAAGGTGGATATTGGGAGCGATGAGGACACTGGTCCTGCTTGCCCACTCCTCAAGCCTTCATGAAAGCTGCTTGTGTTCAGTCTCCTCATGTTTTTCTGAGATAATCCACACACCCACAGATGTGTGAAAGACAGCTATTCTCTGCCTTTCACACTGGAATCCACTAAACATAGGCCTACAGCATGATTTCAAACATTTAACATACAATACAGTATGTTCCTTCCATGTTCTTCAGCTTTTAATGTGAGGTAACATTTTTCTTTCTTTAAATTTCAGGATACCTGTCCTGGACAAATCCAAGAAAAAAGCACCACCTTCATCACTCAGAGACTGTGATATCATCATCTTTACAAACTCACATTTCTTTGTGAGGCTAAAAAGACACATTTAAAATAAGACAAATCCAACTGTTTTTAACCAGAGCTTTGCCATGGCAACCACAGGCATGCAGCTGCTGGGCCTGGTCCTGTCCATTGTGGGCTGGGTGGGAGGGTTAATCGTGTGTGTCATCCCTCTTTGGAGAGTCACTGCCTTCATCGGGAACAACATAGTGACGGCTCAGATTATCTGGGAAGGTCTTTGGATGAATTGTATAGTGCAGAGCACAGGGCAGATCCAGTGTAAAGTGTATGATAGTATGTTAGCACTGCCCAGTGACATGCAGGCGGCCCGGGGACTCACCGTCCTCTCCCTCCTGATGTGTGGTCTGGCTCTGGCTATGGGAGTCCTGGGGGTTAAGTGCACTAAGTGCATTGGTATTAACAGTGTGAAAGCACGTATTGCTCGTATTTCTGGTGCTCTCTTTGCTATTGCAGGGTTTCTGTACCTTGTACCTGTGTGCTGGACTGCTCACTCCATCATCAGGGATTTCTATGACCCACATGTGGCAGCTCCACACAAGCGTGAGCTTGGTCCTGGTCTGTACATCGGCTGGGGAGCATCGGCTCTGCTCCTCATTGGGGGCTCTCTGCTTTATGCTGGATCCAGCCCCCCGGGCATCCCTGGCTCCCCCACCTTTAGCAGTGGAGATAGCAGTCCCCGCAGAACACCTGCCACACAGGTGAAAGGTTATGTCTGAGCTCTGCAAATAAATGCACTAATATCTGTCACATCTATGTTTCCATTTCTCAGTTGTGCTCTTTGTTATTTTATATTTAATGTTTTTTTGTTTTTGTAATTTTCTTTGAAAAGCTGCACTGTGCATCAGAAAATAGATCTTTTTCCATTTTGCATACCTATGTCTGTCATGTAACACTGTACTTGTCATTGGAAAATAAAAATGACCATCCTTCTATATGCTTTAAAACATTTCATTCCTGAAGATGTATGAGGTCTTGAATCTTGTTAGGTGACCAACTGAATGAAACCATGTGCCATTACTGTATACAGTATTACTGTTTCTAGAAATCAAGTTTAGGTTTTTGCCTACAGCTTACTTTCTGTAAATCACCTGCCCTGGGATAATAAGATAACATTTGCCTGTGTATTTACCACTGTGTGTTAAAGTAAATGACACAAGCCAAGCATAGGCCTACTTTGTGTACACACCAGTAAGGCTATATGATGATGATGACTGCTGAGACCCGTCCAACACAATAGCACTTTATTGTGCATTAGACTACAGCAACACTAACAATTGGCACCAGTATTTCTAGTGCCAGGTAGTGACTCATACATGACCCAAAGAGACCTAAGCTATATCATTGTCTTAGAAATACTATGAATGGTCTCTATGGTTCTAAGTATAGAGCCAGTGAGTCTTCTAAACTGTGAACTACAATAACACTTGAAAGTTGTCTCACATTGTATTTCAGCACTTGTTTATATAGGCTATGTCAGTACAACATATCAGTCTGACTTTTACAAATAGCGAAGGCAACGCATTTTCAGTGTTGTTTCTACCATGGGGCAAAGATTAGGTCTAAATCTGCCTCAGTCACTGTAGACTAGATTAATTGGCAATGGATGTGATAATTGAATTACAATTAATTAAGCAATTCATCAATTTATTAAGTTCTAAGTTCAACCATACACAGTTAATTGTTTAATCATAGACTGCATGATTTTAACCCAATTAACTTTTGTCACTTGTTTTTGTACATAAATAGTTATTCTGGATTGCCAAGTAAAGTAAATTTGAGTTTTCTGTGACATGATCAAGTTACTGATTTGAGGCTGCTTTTATCTAAAAGGTTAAATTATCAGTAAATGGCCGATAAAAGGTGTCAGTAATGGATAAAATTGTTATATATTACCAAAATTGTAAAAGGCGTTAGGATTACTCACCTAACAATCTGGCAACACTTGGCGGAAGTACTCCCAGCTAAGGCTAACTGAGAAGGCTAACTGCTAACAGGCTAGCATCGTCGTTGGGAAAATTGTGGACATAACAACACACATCGACAAAGACTAACATAATCTTCCAACATGGGCAAAGGTGGAGGTACATTTGAACGACTTCTGGGTAGGTTTTAAGCAAGTCTGTTATATTTACATTTACATGTTTGACAACCGAACTGCGATGATGTTTTCGGTGTATTGTTTTGCCAGGGCTGTGGCTTTGAGGCCAGCTAAATTGCTAACTAAATTAAATACTGTCATGAATGGCAAGTCAAGATATAAAATCAGAAGTGACAAGCTCTTTATTTTACATTTAACCAAGTCCCCTTCCCTAGAAACTGTTAAAAATGTTAAAAGATGTCTTCACGTTTTGTTTGCTTTTGACTAACACCTAACCTTAAACAACACTGAGAGCCTGACTGTGGGTCATTCCTGTAGCTTTATATTTTAAAGTCATTATAAAGTGTAATAATTCTTTCATGTAACTAGACTATTTCATTTGTTTTCACGTTGTAACCTCACCCTGGGATTTGCTAACGTGGCAGACATTTCAGAGGCTTTTTTTTTTAATTATTATTATTAACGACACAATTCATCTAAAGCTATGAAAAAACTAAAATACCAATCATGTTAAACAATTCCACTAATAGTGTTGCCCCATTTGAGCAAAGCGCCCTGCCAATTTGATCATAATCGCCCAAAATATTGATGACACAGCTTTATTAATTATGAAATCCGAAATCAATGTATTTTTATTATTATTTGTAGATAAAGCTACCAGTCAGCTGTTGCTAGAGACAGACTGGGAGTCCATCCTGCAAATCTGTGATCTTATCAGACAAGGAGACACACAGTAAATACTCTGTTTTCTAATTATTTAGCTATTATTCAAATCAAGAGTAAATATTTAATGTTAACAACATGTACTTTCTAAATGTCCCATCAGAGCAAAATATGCTATTGGTGCAATAAAGAAGAAATTGAATGACAAAAATCCGCATGTAGCTCTGTATGCACTGGAGGTATGTAATAATGAGAAAACATAGAGTAAGCAATTGTCTCAGTGACTTGGTCTTATCCAGTATGTTTTGTGGGTGAATTGTGTGTTCATCTTAGGTCCTGGAGTCTGTCGTGAAGAACTGTGGCTCTACAATTCATGATGAGGTGGCTTGTAAGCAAACTATGGAAGAACTCAAGGAACTTTTAAAGGTGATTTTACAACAAATAAAATAAAATAAGTTGACTAGTGTAGTTTTGGAATAGAACGTAAGATTTTCTATTCTGAGGCTTCATCAATTTTCCATCTTATTTTTGCTTGATAATAGCACAGCTGTCAGGATTTTTACTGCATTACACCATGACCCAGCATTATCTGGTTGGCTGCTCAATGTGTCATGTGACACTACAGTCTAGGCCAGTTTTTGCTTCCTGGTGATGTCATTACCTTGTGACTGTAGTGCGTGTTATGGTGCTTCCCCTTTATTTACATGTCAGTCTCCCAGTACTTAAGTTGGAAGAAGGAAAAACATTCAAGATTCTCGACATTTATTTTTACAGAAACAAACTGAACCAAACGTTAGGAACAAGATCCTGTACCTAATTCAAGCCTGGGCCCAGGCTTTTCGTAATGAGCCCAAATACAAGGTGGTTCAAGATACTTATCAGATCATGAAAGTAGAAGGTAAGTTTTGTTGTGAGGTTACATTTTATTTTACACAATTTTTCTTTTGGGTTTACTAAAGTAAATACTTTTTGCATAGGCCATGTTTTTCCTGAATTCAAGGAGAGTGATGCTATGTTTGCAGCTGAAAGAGTAAGATAAATTTACTTACAATAGCATAATGCTTACTGCCCTCATACAACGCAATATAATGCTTGTGTTGTGGTATTTAAGGCTCCAGACTGGGTGGACGCAGAGGAGTGTCACCGGTGCAGAGTTCAGTTTGGTGTTATGACAAGAAAGGTAGGCGGGGTTTTCTTCGAATCAGGTCACTTTCTTCACCTGTTACCTACTCTATGAAACGACTTGAAATTGATCAACAGTTTTAATGTTCATGTTTAACATTTACTTTTCAGCATCACTGCCGAGCCTGTGGACAGATTTTCTGTGGCAAGTGTTCTTCTAAGTACTCCACTATTCCAAAGTTTGGTATTGAGAAGGAAGTGCGCGTCTGTGAGCCCTGCTTTGAACTGCTCAACAAGTGAGTCTTGAGAGTCTTGTGGATTATTGTGTTTCATTAAGTGCTCATTACTGTGTTATTTGGCTTCCCCATATTTGGAGAGCTATTGTGTCATGCTCTCTGCTGATTTTTAAGACTGTTTGTCCTCCCTGGTCCCTTTTCCTCACCAGCCACCCCTCCCTCTCTCCTCTACTCAGGAAAACCGAGGGAAAAGCTCCAGCTTCTAGCTCAGCTGATCTGCCTCCAGAGTATTTGACCAAGCCCCCTGTCTCAGCAGTCACAGGTCTGTTATGTAGAATTACTCTTGTCTGTTATGTACTTGCTTCATTATTTAATTTGACACATGCAGGTTAAACAAAAACAATAGAATTACTTATTGGGCAACACACAAGATGACATTTCTGTTGACCATTCTTAACATACCCTTTTATCATCTTTTGTTTCTCAAAGCAGATGCCCCCCAAAAGGGATGAAGCAGCCCTGCAGGAAGAAGAGGAGCTGCAGCTGGCCATTGCCCTGTCTCAAAGTGAGGCAGAGGAGAAAGAGCGCATGGTGAATTTACAAGTCCTTACTTCAAATTCTGTCTGTTCTTGTGTTCTTGAGGAGAACACATACATTGTATGAATGTCTGTTGTTATAATTAACAGAGACAGAAGAACTCTTATTCGATGTATCCCAAAACTGATCCTACTCCAGTGACTTCTTCAGCACCACCTGTCAGCACCCTCTACACTGCTCCCATGGTAAGACAACCTATCGCTGTATATATTGTTAGAATCAAACTACTTCCTTGTTTTTAACTATCCATTGTTCCTTTTAGAACTCCTCTGCCCCCTCAGCTGAAGATGTAGACCCTGAGGTATGTTTTTTTTTTTTTTTTTACACCATTAAAGGGTGGGTATGTAGGATGCATTGTTATCAGTTTTAAAAATACTCCAATCAAAATTTTTATTCACTAGTACCTTTTAACTGCATTTTGAGGACATAAATACAAGGTTTGCATATTCTCAGTATATATGGACAGACCTTGCCTCATTTGAAGAATTTGTAGAGTTCATTCACTGAGCTCTAACATTTTGAGACTGCACTAGCATATTATTATTCATTATTAATTACTAGGGGTGTAACGGTACATGTTTTGTGCCGAACTGTTTCGGTACAGGATGTTTGGTTTAGTGCAGGGCTGTGCACAAGTGAATTCACACAATTTGTGTGTTTTTACATTCCACCACTACATGTGCAGCTACACAGAAGGCTTGGTTCTTTAATATTCACGAGGGAACTTGTCCGTGATTGAGGTAGCAGTGTTTCCCGCAGCGCTTTAATGTACCTGTTTAAAATACTCATATATTTTGGGTCTAATGCCAATGTTATCTTACTTTAGCTGGCCCGTTACCTAAATAGAACATACTGGGAAAAGAAACAAGAGGAATCCCGTAAGAGTCCTACGCCCTCAGCCCCTGCTCCAGTCTCAATAGCGGAGACCCTCCCAGCGCCAATAAGCCAACCTGTTGAAAGTCACGTCCCGGTACAGCCTGTCAACATTGTCGAGGTATGTGAACGCTCATAATTGATTATTTTATTTTAAGTAGTATTATTCAAATATTATGTTGTCCCCTCTTATAGCAACAATACCAAAATGGTGAATCTGAAGAGAATCATGAGCAGTTTCTGAAGGCCTTGCAGAATGCTGTTACAACTTTCCTGAACCGTATGAAAAGTAACCATATGAGGGGGCGCAGCATCACCAACGACAGTGCTGTGTTGTCTCTCTTTCAATCAATCAACAACATGCACCCACAGCTCCTGGATATACTTAACCAGCTGGATGAGAAAAGATGTCAGTCTTTGTGAATGTCTTTGCAGCTTTTTGTGAATTTTTCTACATATTCTATGTAAGTAAAACGTGCAAATCTCATGTGTAACAGTGTACTATGAAGGACTGCAGGACAAGCTGGCCCAAGTAAGGGATGCTCGAGCAGCTCTCAATGCCCTTCGGGATGAACACAGGGAGAAGCTGCGGCGTGCGGCTGAGGAAGCGGAAAGGCAGAGACAGATTCAGCTTGCTCAAAAACTAGAAATTATGAGGCAGAAGAAACAGGTAATAAAAACTGAAATGCCTCGTCTTTGTCTTGGAGACATTATTACTGAAATACATAATGTTCATTTTACAGGAGTATCTTGAAATGCAAAGACAGTTGGCCATCCAGCGCCTCCAGGAGCAAGAGAAGGAGCGACAGATGCGACTGGAGCAGCAGAAGCACACCATCCAGATGAGAGCGCAGATGCCGGCTTTCTCTCTGCCCTATGCTCAGGTAAAGTCTAAAGCCTTCAACAGTGTGCTCTGTGGATGAACACATTTTATTGTCAAAAGGTCAGGTGTAAATCGTTGCCCTATTCAGTTTCAGGTCCATTCTAAAATGCATATGAATGAAGAGTTACCAAATTAAACCTTGTGTGTGTTTTGCAGATGCAGTCTTTGCCTCCCAACGTAGCAGGAGGAGTGGTGTATCAGCCTGGTGCTCCACCCAGTTATCCAGGCACCTTCAGCCCTGCTGGCTCAGTGGAGGGTTCACCTATGCACAACATTTACATGAATCAAGCGGGGCAAACTGCACCCACACAGTATCAGGCTATGCCTGGTGCTGCACCAGGTGAGATGTTAATATAAAATTAAGTTAAGCTTTTTTTTTTTTTTTTTTTTTTTAATTTGCAGCCACACCAATTCTGTTTTGTTTTTCCTTTTAGATCCCAACATGGTTAATGCATACATGTACCCAGCTGCAGGCACCAATGGGCAGCCTGCCCCTCCTCCTGGTCAGGTCCCTCCCACAACCAGTCCCCCATACTCCAACTACCAGCCCACACCTACGCAGGGCTACCAGGTTTAAATACTTTCTTGCAGCAATTCGTCCTTGTTTCTATACTTGTTTATAACCACAATTCTTCTGTTCTCAGAATGTAGCCTCTCAAGCCCAGAGTTTGCCTCCTATGCCCCAAACAGCTCCTAGTAATGGTATGGCTTACATGGGTTATCAGCCATACAACATGCAAGGCATGATCTCAGCGCTACCAGGGCAGGACCCCAACATACCGCCACAACAGCAGTACATGCCAGGCCAGCAGCCCATGTACCAGCAGGTTGGTCAATACACTACAGTTTTCATGTTGTTAACCATATTAGCATGTGTTAGACAATATAATGGTATACTATTCATGATTCTAACCACCACTTTGTTTTAGGTTCCCCCTCCTGGTGGCCCTCAACAGCAACCACCCCCTGCTCAACAGCAGCCCCCGCAGGCCGTGCCGGGTAGTGCAGAGGCTCAGCTCATTTCCTTTGACTGAAAAACTTACGCGCTGCTGCTTCTCACACACTACACCATTCTCTCTTCCTTTAGCCTGTTTCTTCTCTTTTTGGACTCTTGCACCCCTCACAGACATCTCACCTTCCACTGCGCTGTGATGTTGTGGCAATGTGAATTTTGTGATGATGTTGCGAAAACAGTTGCCCTCTTTCCCTTAGTTCAGCAGGGAGTGTGCAAGTAAAGGTAGCAATACCTAAATCCTTTCTTTCTTCTAACTTCCTGGCTCATCTTGTGTACATTTATGTAATATTTCCTAAATGAATAATTATACTCTAAAATAGGCAGTGATATTAAATTAAGGTAATATCTTAATAATGGAGGTGTGAAAACATAACCAACCTTTTCATTCATATTTTTATAATTCAAAACTTGCATGTTAAATTGTATTTGTTTCCAAAATGGATTTAAATCATTGTAGTGTCACTCCAATTTAAGATTTAATTGTAAGCATCTGTTTGTACTGTTTAAGATATTGTATGAATGTCTTCACGGAGAAAGCACAGTCAAAGGTCAAAATAAACAGTGCAAGCCTCATCAGATCAGATGGGCAATTCTGTGGTGTTAAGAAACAAAAATATCCCTGAAGTGGCACTTCTTGAAAGTATATTAAGATAGAAGTGGGATATTTTGTAATTCCTCAAATAGTTTTGATCAATTGCCTCTGTTTTATTGTCCAGCACTTTTAAATCTTGAGGCCATAATGAGCATAGGACCTTAATCGAATACAAGTTGCCTTCATTATCACAAATGGGATGTTTTAGCCATTAGGCTAACACAAAGCTATGGTAGGCACTTGTTCAATGTGATGTTGGCATGTGGATTTGCCTGTAAATCAATGTGCCGCATGTGTGAAACTCATTTTCAGTAAACCTGTAGTTGCCATTTGTGATCTTTATCCCACACTCATCTGTCTGACTTTAAAGGAATTTTAAAAATATATTTAATAAATTTGGTTCTTATTGTCACCATGCTCCGTTTATTAATGCTATACAAGAAAAGTCAATTACACAACAATATACCATATCTATATTTATCTATCTATGTACATTTATATCTGTCTATCTATCTATATACATAGATAGATCGATATAGACAGAGATATAGATATGTAGATAGATATATATTTTTATTATTTGTTTATTTTCCGGAAGATTAGACATTTGTAGTAATTCTCCATCTCAACCTAAACATACAAAACATGTAATGTAATTAATCACACATTTTTTCAAAGTTAAAAAAGGTAAACATTTACAAGTGCTTACTATTCTCTCCATTCGCAGTCCATTTCCATATGCTATCTGTCTTAGTACATCGATATCTGGAAGCCCCCACTCTGGATTCCTGTTAATTCAGGGATGTAGAGGTGTGAGTGAGATATAACTAAAAAATGACAGGTAGAATTGTGCTTACAGCTTTCTTATCTCTTCATCCAGATCTTCATTACAGCTTGGTGTAATTGTTCCGTTTATTGCATAGACCTGTTTGAGACAACAGTCGTAGAAGTGCAATTGTTTTATCTCTAACCAAAATGATTACTATACATACCCCATATATTATCAGAAGACCATTTGGTTTGAGGACCTGACCTGCCCCAGTGAAAACACCCTGGAAATAAAATAGTTACTGGATTGTTAATATACTTCTCAGTTAGTAGAGGTCTTGTTTGACAATGCTTAATGGCCTAAGGAAGTAAAAATCAACTTTACCTACCTGTGCTGTTTTGAAGGAGCTGTACTGCAGTAGGTTTATAGCGACAATAACATCACAAGAATTAACAGAAAGGTTTCCCCATTTCTCCCAGGGATCACTGGCGTCAAGATGCACTGGTTGGAGCACAGTCTTTGCATTGGTGGCCGCAATGTACGCCTTAATACTTTAGACAAAGGGACCGGGTTTAGGGTTTATTACATCAGTTACATTTCTATCACAGAGTTACACACCTGTCTCTTGATTCTTCTTTGATATCTGAAGGTTGCCAGGTCACAAAGGGCATTTTCTGGGCAAAGCGTATGACGTGCTGCCCTGTGCCAGAGCCCAATTCCAATGCAAACAGCTGCCTGTGAGATTGTTCCTCTAGCACATCCTCCAATACTGAAGCCAAGCTCTGCCAGTTCCTCTCTGCCTGAGGAGACACCAGCATGGTTCTCCCCAGAGAAGACCACGGACAAAATAAATGCAGGTGAAGACTGAAGACTGGTAGATGTTTGGAGCAGATGGTTAGAGATTACTTTGTTAAGAGGATTCTTCTCAGCTCCTCCTTACTTTTTGGTACACAAGGGTAGTTTAATAAACAGAAAGGCCTATAGCCTAAATGTTTTTGTTTTACCCAATATAGCTGTATGATAGTAATAAATACATTTATTCATTAATTTTGATGAAATATTATTAACAAATGGCTTATTTATATAAGGCTTAATGAGTGGAGGTCACACACCTACAGGGAAGGGTATGATTTTTAATCCAATAAATCAAAAATAAAATGTCGTAACGGGTGTCGTATTGAGAGGTGGATTATCAAATTCAAATTTCCTAGTTTTGTACATAGTCTGTGTTTTTTGTATGCGCGAGCCACCGTATGTAAGTTCACGCAATGCATCTTGGGTAGGTCAGTAGTCGAGGGGACGCCATGTGCTTTTGAGGCAGAAGGAACTTGGTCCAAGAAAATTTATCTGCCTTTCAGTGGATAATCAAGCCTTAAAGCTCCGTGTTTTAAAAATCATGTACTGTTCCACGCGATGCCTACGCACGGCGCTGCGTTTAGCTGCACGCACGTACAGGTACGTAACATGACTCTGCATAGTCTGAGCTCACGTAAGGACTGGATCTAACAGAGGTGTTTGACACAAGTCAAGGGCAGAAAACCGGTGATGCATCCTGCCACTTGAGGTCTTTATCATTCGGTTTATAAACGGCTCTTGTAACAAACGTGCTCTCTGATGTTATTCTTGTGATAAAACATACCCCCTTTAGCTGTAGATGAGCTAGTTAGCTTTTCAAAGCCCGACATGGATTATAAAGCCATTGTGCTCACTTGAAGTGTGTCATTCATGTTTAAAAAAATAAAAATAAAAAGCTTTAAAATCGCTACTGATGTTACGACAAAATGCTGGGCATCTGTGTATTTTACATTGTTTTTGATATGCAATTTAGGCATAAACATCTTGCATCAAGGTCACTGATCTGTTTTAAGCCAACTTTTCCAGCCTATTGCTGAATACTGTAGAGGGAACATCGGAGCTCTGTAAACTGTAGACCAGGGGCCCATTATAGATAGTGGAGTCATTAAATGCATAAAACAATGTGTTTTTGACTATGACAGAAACACAAGAAGACCTAATCAATGTCTAAATATAGTGACAGATCTCCAAAACTCCTGCATATGTCCAAATGTAAATTGTATTTTTTTTTCTTCAGACATGAGAACCAGTTGCAGGCCTCAGCTCTGTTGGCATGCAGGCTACTGAGGACCAGTTCAACAAATCATGTGGAGACCATAGCCACCCCTCCTCTTGATGGAGCAGCCAAACAGTACTCTCCTAAAATTCAGCAGCTTGTCAATGACATAGCCAGTCTCACTTTGTTAGAGGTTTCAGACCTCAACGAACTTCTCAAGGTATGAAACAGTCTTTAAACAGTCTTGAACAAGTGTTGTAAAAGTAGATTAATTAAGTTTATTTTGTTTTTATCTGATTTGTATAGAAAACACTGAATATCCAAGATGTTGGAATGATGCCAATGGGTGCTGTAGCTGGAGCAGCAGTACCTGCAGCTCCGGTAAGAACTGATTGAACAGAATACAAAAGTGCTTAGTAGTGGCACACAATTTCCTTGTGATTACCCGTTAGATTACTTAATGTAGATATGCCATGATGAAACACAACATGTTTTTTGCATGTTCAACAGGCTGCAGAAGAGGATGAGGCACCTGCCAAAAAAGAGAAGACTCACTTCACAGTAAAACTGACAGAGCTGAAAGCAGCTGAAAAAGTGAAGCTTATAAAAGAAGTCAAGAACTGCATTCAAGGATTAAATCTAGTACAGGTATGTATCAATACAGTTTTACTCTATGCATCATATTACAGAAGACATTTCAAGTGCTTACTCTTTAGCAAGCACTTGCATTGTCTGATTCTAAATTGACTTGTCCTTCCTAATATCTTGTTTAGGCTAAAAAACTAGTGGAGGCCCTCCCTCAGGAAATCCGTGCCAATGTATCCAAAGAGGAGGCAGAGAAACTGAAAGCTGCCCTGGAGGCAGCAGGTGGCACTGTGGTGCTAGAGTAGAGCAGTGCCAAAACTCCATTCTTCTTGCACTTCATGCTCTGTTCTACATTCTAATTTAAAAAAGAGGAAGGAATAATCAGAAAGGATACAAAAATGCCTGGGACATTTTCATTGAACTTGAGGCAGGACAACACTGCTCGGACTGAACTTTTTAGAATGAAAATGTGCTCTAAAGACTGTTATTCTGTTTGCTTTTTCATTTGTTCAGATATATGTGTATGATTGCGGTGTAGCCTCTGGGCTATAAAAAAAAAACTGGTTAAGTGCTAACCTAGTCATCTTAACTGTGTATGCAAGTGTATAAAGCAGAATGGTAATTTGTACTGGGAGGACCTATTCACAAACCCTTAAACGAAAAACAGGGCTTGTTAAAAGTTAGGAAGGCATTGTATTTCTCAAGATACTGTTAATGATGTGATTAAAGTTGAATTATCCATGTTATAAAATATTTGTAGATTGGTTATATATACTTAGATCTTAGCATATGTACATACCATACTTCATTATTAATAATATACTTCAGCTTGATGCTTGTCAAACTGAACATGACAATTGCGACGTGAACGTGGTATTGTCTTGTTGGTTATATGTCGAACCAACGCTAGGTGGCGCCTGAGCTCTTTGCTTGCAAAGCGATACCAGGCAATCTCATCAGTTGTCAGTTTCATGTAAGTACAAGGACGCAAGTACACGTAGTTAAAGCACGTATATATTTAAGAAATATATTTTAAAAGACCTACAATGATTTCTATACTTCATAAACTCCCAAATATGATCATCCTAATTTACAGCATTTAATGGCATGATGTTCTTTTCAATATATTGATTTCACAGTGACACTGAACGGTTTCAACACATTACTTAACTCACACAAATGTTTAGGTAGTTGCATTTGATTTCATCACATGATTGGTGGTTTGAAGTATATTACAACAACATTTTCTGGCAGTATTTAATGATATAAGATAAGATCCACACTGTTTATTATCCAGTGATGAGAATGTGCAATTTCCATTTACACAGACTGCTAGGCTTACAGACATGTTGGCTATATCGATAGAAGACTCAAGAACCTCTGTAAATTTTTGAAGCAAATTTGCCAAAATGAACAGCAATGTGATGATCTGGATTTGCTTCTCCAATGTCATTATTTGCCAGAAATCAGAATTACCAGATTACATACAATAATTAGCTTTACATTTGTCATTTGTGATGTGCTGTGATAAGAACATCCCAATTTGAATGGGATACCAAATTAAAATTATCCATGACAGATATGTGCAGGGCAGTCCTTGGAATTACATTTCTGGTATGGAGCTTTTTCTTTTTTTCAAAATTTGCCAGCCTTGTCAGTTGAACACATTTTAGGGGTTTTATGTGTCAGGGATTTTCCAGATTTTGCTCCAAACTAAATTTTATGATGCTGTTTAAAAATGTATATCTTTCAAACTGATCTTCCACTCTTCGGCTTTGTTATATCTACATATTTACTTAGAGCCACAGACTATAGTGAAACAGAAGTAATGCTTGGGATTGTGTGGACCCTGTGATTTACCTGACAACAACCTAATCTTTTTATGTATTTTCACTCACCACATGCATGATGGTTAAAGTAGTCTCAGCTCCGTGGCTAAATAAGACCATGTGTTGGAGGTCAGGGGCAGCAATGGCACTGAGAATCTCTGGTGGTTTTCTGTCACTCAAAATATTTATGTTTTATTCATGCTGGGTGAAGTGTAATGTGTATGTATCTTGACATGCCATAACTTGTAGATATCCTTTTATAGATTTGATCTCTTTTCAAAGAAAGAATAGACACTTATAAAGGAGGTGGCAATTGTGTTATACTATGCAACCAGCCTGTTTTTTGTTTTGTTTTGTTTTACTAGGGTTATACGATTTCTACAATTGCTTTTGCTGCTTACCTCAGTATATGTATGTATATTCCCATGTGATATATATCACTGTAGAAACTAGTTCAGTGTGGAGATCTTCACCATATTCTATACTGTACCCTAAAATGTACGATAGCTGTGTGGCACACACGTCCTGGCCGTGGAACACTGGACCAGCTCTACACTCCCAATAGGGTGCTCGAGGGTTCATGGGAGTTTGCCCAACCAGTCCACATGTGCTTTGTGGATCTGGAGAAGGCATTTGACCGTGTCCCTTGTGGTGGAAGGCGAAGCTCTCAATTTACCGGTCAGTCTTCGTTCCTACTTTCACCTATGGTCATGAGCTCTGGGTAGTGACCGAAAGGACAAGATCGCGGATACAAGCGCTCGAAATGAGTTTCCTCCGCAGGGTGGCTGGGCACTCCCTTAGAGATAGGGTGAGGAGCTCAGTCACACTGGAGGAGCTCGGAGTAGAGCTGCTGCTCCTCCACGTCGAGAGGAGCCAGTTGAGGTGTCTCGGGCATCTGTTCCGGATGCCTCCTGGGCGCCTCCCTCGGGAGGTGTTCCGGGTATGTCCCGCCGGGAGGAGGCCCCGGGGAAGACCCAGAACACGCTGGAGGGACTATGTCTCTCAGCTGGCCTGGGAACGCCTCAGGGTTCCCCCGGAGGAGCTGGAGGACGTGTCTGGGGCGAAGGAAGTCTGGGAGTCCCTGCTTAGGCTGCTGCCCCTGCGACCCGGCCCCGGATAAGCGGACGAAAATGGATGGATGGATGTGTGGCACATTCTCACCAGTCACAGTATGCTATTGCCTGGACAGATCATGGAAATCAGAAAACAATGGAGAATTTCAATGTAAGCAGTGTTTTCTTTCAATTGTTTTGTATTTGTTTAGTGACTCACATTGCATTGCTCAGGAAGCATGAAATGAATTTGTTGAGGCACAAATGCATATTTTATTAGACCATAGCTGTATGCCTCAGTAGCAAAAGGATTTCATGACTATACTACAAAGTAAGCTAATGCTTAGAAAAACCATTTAAAGGGCCCATATTACGCTGTTTTCTGATCTATAATTTAATGTTGTTTCCTCGTCACAAACATGCCTGGAGTTGTGTTTTGTTTCATTCACACATGTTTAACACACCAATACTGCATATTTAGAGTTCTTCTCTCAAGCAGAAAACACTCTGTTCCCCCTTGAGATGTCATGTTGTAATACAGGAAGTGCTCCACTTTTTAAACTTTTTCTTTTTTCCCACTTTTTAAACTCCGTACAACTTCATTAGAATCATTTGCATCATTTCAGCCCTGAAATTGCCCTCTCAGCTGGTGGCTGGTAGGTAGCACTGCATGACATCACAAAATGTAACAGAGGATTTTGAGCTTTGGAGGTGTAGATAGAATAATAAACCACGATTACTCAAATGTGTGCAAATGAAGCGAAACAACAGGGAACAACATTCTAATATGTCTTAAAGCTTGCAGTAATAAATCTTGTGTAATATGTGACATCATTACTACTGTAATGGAAAGTAATATTAGGTTAAATAAGTTATAGATTTTTCCCTCTTTCTGAGCCTCAGTTATGTGTTTTACCATCTTTTTCTTGAGCCAAACTTTACTACAAGTCAGGTTCAGCTTATGCTCTAGATTCAAGAACATAATTTTCACCCATAGCCTTTTTGTAGCTGGGTCTGTGAGTCCTCATGAGCAAGTCTTGGCTTTGCGTGGCTATATTTTACAGGTATTACTTTTCTTTTAAGTTGCTGTCCCATCCGTCATAGTCAACATTAAAGAGCATCGTCTTTTTTAGCCCAGGTTTTGGTTCATATGTGAATTTGTACATCTGTTATGGCAGGTATGGTATACAAAAAAGGAATAGACAGACAAATTCTTACCTTTGTCAAAGAAGTGTCTTGAATGGGAGTGAATTATGATAAAGGAAAGCGATCAAATCAACCTAATGACCACAAAATGGCCATAACAATGCTAATGCTATCAACTTTGGCTACAGTACCACTGACACTGAAAAGGCAACAGGTAAGACCATCTTATCTGAAGTAGTTGATTTGTTTAATGTTCATACGTTGTTCAGACTTTTTTTTTTTTTTTTTTTTTAGTAGAATCATGCTGCACAAGCTAGCTCAAATCTGCATCAGCTGCTCAAGGCCTAATATTGTCAGGTAGATATTCATTATCACAAACCACGTACAACAAAACAAGAACAAAGATCCTCCAACTTTTGTTTAAGGACTCATCAATTCTAAGTAATTAATGGGTTATTATTTTATTCACCTACTGATAAAGCTCTACAGGAATGCAGTCTATTATTTATAAGGCTGCTGGTGGGTCCATGCTGTAGTTTCTCACCAATAACACACCATACAGCTGCTTACAATTTAATCCAATAAAGATAATTGTCATGAATTGAATTTCCACGTTCCTGCGCAGTGATGAAAGCCAACAGGGACAATCTGACAACAAACTTCCCAGTGTTTCATATGGATCTAATTTAACCACAGCAGTTTTATGATAAACAAAAACTGCAAGAGGATTAATAATTTATTGGGATAAGTAGGCCTAGTCTTTCATAATATACATTTAGGCAAACATAGTTAATTTTACAATTTTTTCTCTATTTTAGTCACTTTTATTGTAAGACTTTTCTCTACTGCAATATGGTAACTTATACAACTTTTGGTTGAACTTTACAGACAGTAATTAAATGGAAAGAATTTTAATAATAGGGCATAATGTGCATTTTGTAGCCCAGGTTCCATATTATCATTGATAAAATACTTACCATGTTTCCAGGTACAGTCTTCATGCTGTGATTGAAATAGGTGTTAATGTATGGTTAATGATATTGCTAAGAAATTACATTGAAGAATATTACCATAGTTACACTGTTAGTTATAATAACCTTGAAACGACCCATATTAAGCTATTTTCTTATCAATGTTGCAATGTTGTTTCCTCATCACAAACATCTGGAGTTGTGTTTTGTTTCATTCACACATGTTAAACACACAAACCCTGCATATATAGGCTGAGTTCTTCTCTCAAACTGAAAACACTCAGTTCCACGTTATGATGTCATGTGGCAATATAGAAAATGCTACACTGCATTTTAAACTCCATACATCTTCCCTAAAATCTTTTGGATGATTTCAGAATTGAAATTGTCAATCTCTACTTAACTAATGGTAAAAGGTAGCTTTCACGTGAAAATTACCGCTTTTTGACATCACAAAGTGGAACACAGCATTTTGAGGTTTGGAGCTGTAGGCAGACTAATAATAAAGGGTTACTCAATCATATTACTGAAATAAAACACAACTCAGAGTATGTTTTTGAAGAGGTAACATTATAAAATTGTTTAAAGCTCACAAGAGTCAAATTTTCATTATATAGGACCTCTAAATACAGGGAACTTCCCGGCACATCTTGAGGTTTGTACAAGCTGTTTTCCTTCTCCCGACCTAAAAAATAGTCCTTAATTTTATTTTCATGTCACCTAAAATGCCAGGCCTTCAAGCAGAGGACTGGCAGGTTCCCTTTGACCCTCTCACACACAGGCTTTTGCTATTTGCCTTGTACAACCTTTCCTTTATTGTGTGTACCCACGTCCTCTGCTCTGACACACCTCCTCAGTTTCTTATTTCTTTGTTTCTGTAGGCCACCTGAGAGTGTTGAGCCAATTCTGACAGCTCTTGATGGAACTCATGTCTTCACTTCCATACTTCTGAAAAGGTTTTTGAAAAGTATCCATAAACCCATTTTTGTACACTTGAGATGACATGAATCTGGTATTTATAAAGCAGGAAAGTAAGGACAATTGCAGTTTCCCTGATTACACACTTCCTCTTTATTTTAGGAATAATTTTGCCTGTAACTTACTGTGTGGTAATGGCACTGTTCCCTGATTTGGATCTAAAATGGAAAACTT